CAGATGGCCTGCAGGGCCCTGAGTGTGTGTTCTTTGGGCAGGTGAAGAGTGCCTGGGCTGGCTACTATGACTACAACACGTTTGACCAGAACGCCGTGCTGGGCCCTCACCCGCTGGTGGAGAACATGCTCTTCATCACGGGGTTCAGCGGGCACGGGCTGCAGCTGTCGCCAGCGGCAGGCAGGGCTGTGGCCGAGCTCATTCTGAAAGGCAAGTTCATGACCATCAACATGGAGAAGTTCTCCTTCAACAGGTTCGTCTCTGGGGAGCAGGTCCTCGAGAGGAACATTATCTGAGAGCTTGGAACGAACCAGCCAGTTGGTGGGTCCCACCTCCTCTCCTCCCCAGAGCCGTAACACTCTGTCTGCTCCCATGAGCATCTCGGAGCTCTGCAGCCTGACGCCAGCTTGTTAGTTCAGGATCCTGATTGGAAACTGAGGTACGGAGAGAAGTGACTTGCCATAGGCCATGTCGTATGTTGGTGTCTTAGCTGGGAATAGAATCCAGGCCCCTGCTCTACTCACTGGACAGTGCTGCCTCTTGGAGCTGTTGGTTTTAACTCCTGAATCCCTCTCTCCCAGCTGTTGGCCCAATCACACCATTAGCTGCAGGAGAAAACGCGTGCTCCTGCTCAGTGATGGAGATTGCAGCACCAGGCTAGCAGCAGCCTGTACTCAGACACCCTTTCTACCTGCCTGGTGTCCCGGACATCTCTCGAGGTCTCTGGTGCTGGCTCATCCGGCCCAGAGATTGACAGCATCTGCATATCCCACAAACCATATACAGACCTCCGATAATTGCTGTGTCCAGCTACTGCTAATATGAGCCAGATTCGGCCTGGTGATATGAGGTAAAAGGCCCCACATCCCACTTCACCCCTCAGAGCCATTCACTCCCCGATCCCGCAGCAGAAACAGGCTCTCTCTCCATCAGAGCCTGTGGTACATCTACCTGTTCCCTGTGCCTAACCTCTCCAGGCTCCAAAAGGCACCAGCTCTCTTCTAGGCTCTGCTTATGCTGGGAACAGAAATTAACTGATTGGTTCCGCAGCCTATTGTCTTCCAACTCCTGCATGTAGGGTGAAGTCCTTAACAGCTGGGTGACTAAGAACATCCATGTTAGAGGCTCTTCTTATGGACCCATGGATCTTAGAGTGCTTTATCTTTATCCCACCCTCCTGTTTCTTGAGGCCTCATTTTTCTGATCAAATTCCGATTTGGCTAATCATTCTGCCTACCTCCATAGCCCTTCCAGTGCCCCTTTTCTACAGTTGTCTTCACTTCTGATCCCAAACTATTGTATGCTGTTATATGGATGTCACATTCCAGCCCAGAGGTGGCTGAATTCCAGCATTACTTAAAATGGTCCCTGTGTGTAGAATTTTAATCCCCCCCCCCCCCCCCAGGGTTGCAAAATGCTTTGGTGCCCTTTGGACTGAAGGCACTATAGGAACGGAAGTTCATTGGCACTGCTGGTCTTGGAGGAGGTGGAAAACAAACCTCCCACCACAACATGTGTCTTTACAGCCAGTGTCTTGTTATTGGCTGTAGCGATCCTCCCCTGAACGCCCTCAGGAGCACGCCATAGCAGTGCCCAGATTCACAGAGCATTAACTTCCCAAAGTGTTCTGAGATTCTTGACTGTAAGGTGCCAAGAGGAGCAAAAACTCACGAATCCCTGCGAGGAGCTGGACCACTAATTGCTCATTCTTTCTGTTGTACGTGGAGCACTGGCCAAGGCAGGAGGATAGTGCTGCTCCTCAGCCAGGGACTGACTGGATTACTCCTGAGGGAATTCTGTGCCACTGCGCATGTGCAGAATTTGTCTCCCGCAGATTTCTTTGCTTCCCTGCAGAAAAATGACTTTCTGACAGGGAAGCAAAGGGAAGCCACAAGAGCAGTCATAGGACTCCCCCCCCTCTTCCCCCCAGCTGTATGTTTCAGGTGCCCAGGGCAGCTGGCAGAGAGGTACATCACTGTGGGGCAGGAGGCGAGATGGGAAGACCCAGCTGGTGGCTCCTACCCCATGCCTGGCTCAGCTGCTAGTCCCGGCTGGGCTGGGGAGAATGGGACTTCCTCTTCCCCTGCACAGCATCCGAGGCCAGGTCAGACCCATCCCCAGCTTTCTCCCCTGGCTGTAGGAAAGTCTCCAAACTGCCCCCTCACCCCACACTCTTCCTTCACCTATTGCTCCTGAGCTGCAGGGGGAGGGATCACTGTACAGGAAGCTGCTCCCCCATCTGCCTAGACCCCCTCATACCCAGACCCTCTGGCCAAGCCTCACTCCCCCATGCTCAGAACCCTGCTCCCCCTGACGACAAACCCCACTCCCTGCACCTGGACCATCCTGACAAGTCACCCATACCTGGATTCCCCACCACACTGAGCATCACTCCCTCAGCGTCTGGACACCCCCACCCCCCTCCCACTAAGCTCCCCACACCCAGACCACCACCCCTGCTGAGCCCCAACCACCTTCACCTGGACCCCCTTGCTGTGTCCCATTACCTTTGCACCCAGAACCCCCCAACAAGCCCCTCTCCATCCAGAACCCTGCACTTGGATCTCCCACTGAGCTGCCCCCACCCAGCTTGCCCCACCCAGAGCCCTCTCAGCCCACACCTAGATTTTCCCCCCACACACACACTTGGATCCTCCTGTCTTTCTGAGCCTGTCTCCCACACTTGGTGCACCTGGCACAGAGGGGCAGGGCCCTGGGGTGTTTCTGGGGTAGGCCAGTCCTTGCCCTGTCTCAAGGTTGGGTGCAGCATCACTGCTGAGTCCATGTCCTGGGGGAGCTGAACAGTGATCTCCCACCTCTGTGCAGCTAGGGGCCTATGCTCCCCAATACCATGCTCGAGCAACCACATTAATTTGACAAATAAAATTTGCCAAATTTTGCAGAATTTTTAACTTTTTGGTGCAGAATTTTTTAATTTTTTTGGCGCAGAATGTCCTCAGGAGTAACCTGTTGATGTTACTTAGTGCTGACTCCATTTCAGAGGAACAGAAGTGAAGTCAGGGGTCTGCATGACCTAGAAAAGGAAAATCAAAGCTATTCCAGAGGCGACGGATCACAGCTGGCCCAGATGTGCAAGACACACACTGCTGATCTTCCCTGACTGGCACAGCATAGCCTGGATGCTTGGGCTGACTAACAGCTGAGCTGCTGCCAAACCCAGCCTGGTTTGAGATGGGCTTTCCCTGGGAAGTGGCCATTGCTGGCAGTGGTCACCCCTGCCTTAGGCTAGGAACCAGCAGGGCCAGGCTGTTGCTGTCTAGAATGCTACCACAGCTTTGAGCCCACCCTTGCCTTAAGATGAGTGTGGTGCCTGGGGGCCACAGTTGGGCACAGGGGGAGAAGGAGGAGTTTAGAAGGGGAAATAGCTCCCAGCTGCTGTCCCATCCCAAGAGTGCTGCAATCTTCTAGGAGATGACCCAGGAAGGCTGTGCCCCTCACCTACCTCTGTGCCGCTCCAATTGCATGTTAGAGATTTGTACCAGCTCCTCACTTGTGATCTGTACTGAAATAAAGTGATGATGCAGTGTGGGGCTGTGATGGTGGTGGTTGTGGGTATGTGTGTGGGGCTAAGGACAGTCTGCTCACTCCCCTTCAGGGCTGTACTGCACTTACACTTCATCCAAAGTCACAGGGAAAACTCCCATCAGCTTCAGTGAGCTGTGGTGCAGGGCCTGGCTGAGCCTGCGCACCAGCCCCTGCCCTGTGTCACTGGCAAACCACACTGGGAGAAAGTAAGGAAGGCTGCGCAGAGCAGGGCTGTATGGGGGACCTGGGCTTGCATTTGCATCCCAGCTGGGCTGCTTACCAGACAGCTGGGAGGGGATTCAGCTGTTTTAAGGCTCTGCAGTCTTTGAGGGATGCTTTAGGGCACTGTGACCAAGTGGCCCACTCCACAGCCCCCAGCTCAGAGCTGGCCCCTCAGCTGCCCTCTAAACACTTCCTGTCCCAGAACTCCAGCTGGGTAGTGATCTATGCCCAGTTTCCATCTTCAGAAGCATGTGGTAGATGTATGGTATGTGCTACATTGAGGCTTTGCAGAGGGTTCTTAAACCCCATTGCTCTTCCTTTAATAGCACAAGGAATAGATCTATATAAAAATAACTCCACACGCTTCCCTGCTTTGCTTTCCTCACCCCTCTAGCATGTTCTTTGGGTTGGGGTCCTCCTGCTGCAGCATGTGGCCTGTGTTCAGAACCATGGAGACTTCTCTCCCTAGCCCGCTTTCTCCTAGATCAGCTGGTCCATCCACTTCCTCTTTCCTACCCAGCATTTCCTCTTGTGGCTCAGTCAAAGTCTCTCTGGTTTAATATCTCCCACCACCTGGTTCCATTGTCTACTACAGGTAACTTTCTGTTCTCCTAAACCTGGCCCCAGCCTCCTGTAGACAAACTGAGGGGGAAGTGGCTACCTCCAGCTCCAGTTGGCTGCCTTAGCATTATCTTTAGAGCAGCTTGAGAAGTCATGAAATTGAAGTACTTACCCCTTGTCCTTAGTCTGGTGGGTACCTGTACCAGGTCCTGCCAGCTGTGGTGGTTACATAGCAATAAGCTTGCTTACTTGATTCCCAGGACTCTTAAATCCTTCACTAAAAGCCAGCGATTGTGTCGATGTTACCATAACACCTGGAGCTCCCACCTGTAGCCCTGGGCAACACTCACACACACACACACACACAAAATATCCCTGCCTCAAAGAGTTTCCAATCTAAAACTTGTCACTATCACCCACTTAATGCATTAACAGGGGAAGGAACCCAGGGAAGAGGTAACACAGCTGATGCCTTCGGCCATGGGTCAGCTGCCGCCTTCGGCCATGGGTCAGCTGCCATAAAGACCAGTCACTTATCTGTCTATAATGGTCTAAGTGGTAATGCTCAGCAGAGATAAATATATATATATTCAGTAAAGATGGAGAGTGGGGACCAACAGCATAGGCATCCTGAGCCTCCCTCACAACAGAAGCAAAGCCTACAGAAAATGTAAATGAAAGAGCAGATTTAAAATTTGATTAAAGCTAATGTTAATTATCTAATACACAGGTTAAGGAAAGAGTGTCTACATAGCGGGGTGTAAGGCTTAAATTATCCACAAGTACAAAGTTTGATTTAAAAGCCAGAAAATACATCCAGTACATAATGTGCAATATCCCAAATTTTGGTAAATAAATGTAACCGTACAATTTAGATATTAGCATCCAATATTTGGATACCTCACTCACAAAAGGTTATACTAAGAGTAGCTTGCAGAAAGCAAATATAGCAATGAGTGTAGATTGTCGCTGAGTAAGTGAGAATTTAAGATGGGTTGTCCCTCAGAGAAGTATTTCAGTTACTTTCCTGTCTTTGGGACATCAAGATGAGCTTTGCCCCACACTTTAGCTTCTGTAACTCCACTTAGCACTTCCAAGGATATCTTTAATACCCCAGCAGACCGTAGCCAAGGGATAATGAAATTATGTCTTGGTTGGACACACCACAAAAAGGGGTGTACAGGTCCCAAGAACGTGGTAATAAGCATCCAGCATTTAACGCTCAGTACAAAGATGGGCAAAAGGCAACATCCATGTCCAGCATCCCTCACTTTGGTCTCCTAAGCTGCTGTCTGCCAAAGGGGGCAGTAAAGCTTAAAACAGGGAGTTCAGTACCAATTCCCAGCCAGGCTGGCTGGGGCATTCGGCACCCCAGCAGGTTATTAACATGCCCTTTTTAAAAAACAAAACAAAAAAACTTCCACTCCCTGAAAGTCTGCTGTGCTTTTGGCTTCTTTGGATGCAGAAGTCTGGGGTGTTTCCCAGGCCAGAGGAGTCAGTGGCTGCACAAATTGTTTTCCTGAGAGGTAAGTTTAAAATGTACCCTTCAGCTAAATGTCTGCAACAACCCAGATAAAGAAAGCACAGGGCAGTAACCTGGGAAGGGGACCTTGTGCGGAAGGCACTGGAATGTAGCGCAAGATGTGGGTTCAGTTCCCAGCTCTGCCGCCTTAAGATCTGATCTGAACAAGTCAATTATGGCTAGATTTTTAAGGGATCCAGGAGCTCCCACTGGAAATCTGCCCAGTAATCTCTTTCTCAGTTCACTTATGTGTAAAATGGGGGTGGTGATACATCTACCTCCCCGGGTGCTGTAGGGTAGATTCACCGTAAGGCATTCAGACAAACTGATCCACTCCATGGCAATGACCTTTCCAAGAGACAGGCTTCAGAGTAACAGCCGTGTTAGTCTGAATTCGCAAAAAGAACAGGAGGACTTGTGGCACCTTAGAGACTAACCAGTTTATTTGAGCCTAAGCTTTCGTGAGCTTCCGATGAAGTGAGCTGTAGCTCATGAAAGCTTATGCTCAAATAAATTGGTGAGTCTCTAAGATGCCACAAGTCCTCCTGTTCTTTCCAAAAGAGGAACTCAGCTTCTGGCCTGCGAGCAGAATCGAAAGCACCCGCACCAAAGGACAGTTCGCTGAACAGGCTTAAGGGGCTGAACGAAAGGGTACAGCATGAAAAAGTTTCCTGAGCCAATAAGAGAGGCGGTGCTAAAACCCCCCTATAGCTTTCCCTGGACTCAGAAGGCCTGGGCCCCTAGCTGTCAGCCAAGGGATTGGAACAGACCCCAGAGCCTCTCTTCATAAAGCCCAAATGGGATGTGAATGGGCTCTTGTGCTGCCTGGCTCCAGGGTGGGGTTCTCCCCCTGCGGCACAGAAGAGGCTGGCCCATTGTCAAGATCCACAGGAATTCAGCTGCTTTTAGTCTTTGGTTTCTTTGTCAGCAGTTCGGCCACAGAGGGACCAGCAGGTGTCTTCCTTCTGGCACCTAAGGGGAGAAACAAGCAGCCAGGTTATTAGGCTGAAGAAGGCAGGACTGTCCTGTCTTTCCAGCTCAGACACTGCACTACAGCCCTAAGGTCTGTGGCTGCTGGCAAGCTGGCAGACTCAGGAGAGTTTGGCATGTCTCAGATGGCAGGGAGAGCCATACAACAGTAATAATAAACAACACATTAGCTCTCGTGTAGCATCTCTCATCCGTAGGTCTGAAAGTGCCTTACAAAGAGATTGGTAGTGTTATCACCATTTTATATATGGGGAAACAAGCACGGGGAGGTCATGTGACATCCCAAGGTCACCCAGCAGCTTAGTGGCTGAGCTGGGACCAGAACAGGGGTGGGCAAACTTTCTGGCCCGAGGGCCACATCTGGGTGGGGAAACTGCATGCTGGGCCAGGACAGGGGGTTAGGATGCGGGAGGGGGTGCGGTGAGCAGGAAGGGGCTCAGGGCAAGGGGTCGGGGCAGAGGAGGGGTGTATGCGGGGGGCAGAATGCAGAGGGGTTCGGGCTCTGGCCCAGCACCGCTTACCTGGAGTGGCTCCGGGGTGGCAGCGGCATGCACCGGGCACTCCCTGCCTGCCTGCCCTGGCCCTGCTCTGCATGCTGCTCTTGCCTGTGGGTACCTCCCCTGAAGCTCCTGTTGGCTGCAGTTCCCCACTAGGAACTTCAGGGGAGGTACCCACAGGCAAGAGCAGCACAGGGAGCCCTCTGCCCTGTCCCTCCATCCCCCCCCGCTCCCCTAGGGGTGACAGGGACATGGTGCTGGCCGCTTCCCGGAGTGGTGCGGGGCCTGTGGCGTCAGGGGGGTGGCAATCCCATGGGCCGGATCCAAAGCCCTGAGGGGCCGGATCTGGTCCCGCAGGCCATAGTTTGCTCACCCCTGGACTAGAACATAGGTGTCTGGAGTTCCAGCCATAGCCACTAGCCGTGATGCCTCCCCAAGGGAGGGCTGCTCAGGATTGTCTCCTCCCGTTCCTCGCAGCCAGTACTTTGCACTTCAAATCCCAGCCCAAGAGAGCCAAGCCACAGAGCAGCTCCGGGTAAGGGGGGTAGTTACCTTTCTTGCCACCCCCTCCCTCCAGCTGGGCCGTGGTGCTGGCCGATCGCCGGGTGTAGGCTGCCTTCATCCGCTCCACGTTCCTCTTGCTCACCACCTCGTGCACCACGATGGGCTTGGGGTAATCTCGGCCAATCACACAGCCCGCCTGCTCCTGCACGCTTCGCGGCGCCTTCCAGGGCTCGTAGATGTACTCAGCGGGGAACTTCTGGAGGCAAGGGAGGTACTTCCTGCAGGAGGGTCAGGTCCCAAAGGAACAGGCAGGGTGGGTCAGTCAGCCCCACAAGAAATGAGCCGAGGTGGGAATTCAGTGCCGAGCCCCAGGTCCCTCAGGGCCAATTGCCTTCACCAGTATGTCTTAGCCAGCCGGGCTGAGGGGGGCTAGAGCAGGGTACGGGATCTTTGGCCCACTCACTTCCTAGCCTGTCCACTGAAGCTGCCAACCGGGGGTGGGGTAACAATCTGACCTTCCCACCTGGGAATGGGACAAGAGCTCCCAACTTCCAGGCCAGTCAGCCTCACCTCAGTCCCCGGAAAAATCATGGAGCAGGTCCTCAAGGAATCAATCCTGAAGCACTTACATGAGAGGAAAGTGATCAGGAACAGTCAGCATGAATTCACCAAGGGAAGGTCATGCCTGACTAATCTAATCGCCTTCTATGATGAGATTACTGGTTCTGTGGATGAAGGGAAAGCAGTGGATGTATTGTTTCTTGACTTTAGCAAAGCTTTTGACACGGTCTCCCACACTATTCTTGTCAGCAAGTTAAAGAAGTATGGGCTGGATGAATGCACTATAAAGGTGGGTAGAAAGTTGGCTAGATTGTCGGGCTCAACGGGTAGTGATCAATGGCTCCATGTCTAGTTGGCAGCCGGTGTCAAGTGGAGTGCCCCAGGGGTCGGTCCTGGGGCCGGTTTTGTTCAAGATCTTCATAAATGATCTGGAGGATGGTGTGGATTGCACCCTCAGCAAATTTGCGGATGATACTAAACTAGGAGGAGTGTTAGATACGCTGGAGGGCAGGGATAGGATACAGAGGGACCTAGACAAATTGGAGGATTGGGCCAAAAGAAATCTGATGAGGTTCAATAAGGATAAGTGCAGGGTCCTGCACTTAGGACGGAAGAACCCAATGCACCGCTACAGACTAGGGACCGAATGGCTAGGCAGCAGTTCTGCGGAAAAGGACCTAGGGGTGACAGTGGACGAGAAGCTGGATATGAGTCAGCAGTGTGCCCTTGTTGCCAAGAAGGCCAGTGGCATTTTGAGATGTATAAGGAGGGGCATAGCGAGCAGATCGAGGGACGTGATCGTTCCCCTCTATTCGACATTGGTGAGGCCTCACCTGGAGTACTGTGTCCAGTTTTGGGCCCCACACTACAAGAAGGATGTGGAGAAATTGGAGAGAGTCCAGCGAAGGGCAACAAAAATGATTAGGGGTCTGGAACACATGACTTATGAGGAGAGGCTGAGGGAACTGGGATTGTTTAGTCTGCAGAAGAGAAGAATGAGGGGGGATTTGATAGCTGCTTTCAACTACCTGAGAGGTGGTTCCAGAGAGGATGGTTCTAGACTGTTCTCAGTGGTAGAAGAGGACAGGACAAGGAGTAATGGTCTCAAGTTGCTGTGGGGGAGGTTTAGGTTGGATATTAGGAAAAGCTTTTTCACTAGGAAGGTGGTGAAACACTGGAATGCGTTACCTAGGGAGGTGGTAGAATCTCCTTCCTTAGAAGTTTTTAAGGTCAGGCTTGACAAAGCCCTGGCTGGGATGATTTAATTGGGGATTGGCCCTGCTTTGAGCAGGGGGTTGGACTAGATGACCTCCTGAGGTCCCTTCCAACCCTGATATTCTATGATTCCTGTCCTCACAGACCACCCAACATGGGGGTTACATCCAGTTGCTGTCGGCCTAGAGCTAGAACGATTCACTGCCACCACCAGTCTTCTGGGTGGAGACAGAAAGACGGAAACCCCCAACCCTCCCCCCACCCGCGCAGTGTCCCCTCTGCGATGCCATGCCAGAGCCACACCCGGACTGCGGCGCTCGCTGGGCTGTAGCAGACGCCCGCATGGTCCAGGAAGAGGCTGGGCTCCGCCATGGCTCTGCTGGACTTTGTCTTGCACCTACTTGATATATTCTCCGCCCTTGTCCGTCTTCTTGCCGAAGGCGACAGGCGAGTAGACACGGAAGAACTGGTGGAAGAAGGCGCTCGCCGACAGCCACTGCCAGTTGCCAGCGTTCAGGGACCAGTCAGCATCCAGCAGCAACTCCTCAAAGACCTGGGGTGGGAGGAGTGGATGCTTTGGGGAAGGGAAAGATCATGCATAACCCTGCCCCCCCTGCCCCGGGAACCTCCAAAACTTTCTGCTTCCTTTCAGCTTGGGCTCCTGACCCGTGGCACTGAGGAGGGGTAACAGCTGCTCATCAGGCAGCCGGTCCCCGGGGAGTCCCGCCAGGTGGCACGTGGACTACATTCCCCTCCTACCTTCCCCCCTCACCCTCACGCAACCTGGGTGGGCAGGGTGCCCAGCCAGGAACCCCACTGGCCTTCTGAAAGCATCGGCACCAGAAGTGGAGGGTAAAGACAGCGCCTGTAGGGGGCACTAAATCCCTCTGTGGTTGGTGCCATATAACTGTGATTAGGGAAGGGCTGTCAGAGCAGCCAGGGAGAAGGGGCCATTGGAACAGGTTTGCGCTATCCCTGTGGCTATTCACACCTCCCTTCCCCAGCCTGGCTTAGCTGTGTGGCACTGGGCCCACAGCCGCAGGCAGGGAAGAGCCTCAGACGCTCCCTAATTCATCGGAACGGGTTTGGTTTCTCACTGGGTAAGAGGCTGCAGGAGTCTCTGGCCGCCCTCTAGTCTCTATTCCCACCCGGCCAGCTGTAGAGCCCAGCACCATGAATGACAGCCCGGAGGTCCCACGTCCCTGGAGGTCTTGTCCAGCAGCCCAAGGGCAAGCCTGATCTCCCCTCTGGCAGTGGCTGCCAGAGGCGGAGATGGGTCAGTGAGCTCCCTCCGGCTCAGGCAGCTGGACTGGAGTAGGGAGGAAACTCCCAGCCTCGTTCCCTGTGGCTCCAAGCAGCATGGGGGGTGATAAGGCCAGCCTTGCTCCTCACGGCCATTGGCCGCGATGCAATCTCCGCCTCCCTCCTGCCGTTTGCTCATTGGCAGGCATAGTGGAGAGTTCTGGGATGGACTCCAGGCTCTCCACGTCTGCAGGGCAATGGTGTGGCCTCAGCCAGCCCGTCAGCTTCTTTGTCAACAGTGAAGGTCCTGGAGGCCCCCACCATTTCAGCAGAGCCCTTGCGACATGCCTGACCTTTTGCCCTTGCTCCCAGGATATCCACAGGTCTCCTCGAGTCAGGAAGCAGGCCACAGCGTGCCGGGCCAGGTGATGGATCCAGCCTTCAGTGCGCAGCTGGGTCATGATGGCATCTATGAAGGGGTAGCCCGTCCGGCCCTGCCAAGGAAAGAGCTTCAGTTTAAACCTCCAGCAAGCTAACCCAGGCAGCCATGTGCACAGTACACTCCTGGCTTCACTAGTGAGGTGTGGGGCTGGTGGCCGGACCCATAGAGCTAAGAGACCAATTACTGCCACCAGTCAAGGGAGATCTCTGATACCTCGAGTGGCAGTTACTGTATTTTAAAGCTGAAAGACCAAGGTTCTAGCCTTGGCTGCCCACACCTGTCTGCGGTATCTGGTGACCAGGCCTATTGTCTGCTGAGTGTCTGTTCCTCGCATCGTCCCTACCTCGTCCCTGTATTGAGCAGTTCTCCCTTTGAGGCAAGTATGGGTCAAATTAATCCCTGGTGGAACTCCACTTAGAGTTACACCAGGATGTACTCGGGCCTGACAGCCAGGCCATCTCTAAGTGCGTTCCCTCTAGCCAGCATGACCGCTAATCCCCTTGGTGTCAGCACTCGGTTCCCAACGCTCAGTGGTGGGAATAGCCCCACTGGTGCTGGGAGGCAGAGGGACGGCCCTGCCAGGAGTGCACTAGAAGGAAGATCAGGCGTGTAGGGCTGCTGGCTGGGCTCCCTGAAGCCAGGGTGGACTCACCAGGCCCTTCCCTTAGGGCGCAGTTTGTTAATTCAGATTAAACCCTCCCTCCAACTGACCTCTCTCGGCCCTTTGCAAGGATCACCTGACCCCTTCCTAGCTGGGTCCAATAATCGAACTCTCTCCCCCGGCCCTGGCAGACCACCTTGCTACAAGGCTCTTGTCACTGGGACATCATTGTCATTGGCCCATATTGCCAGAAATGGGTACCTCACTCCAGGCTCTGAGGTGCTCTGGATTGTCATCCCAGTCCACCTGCACACAGATGGGGTTGCCTTCCATCTTGTTGAAGTTGGGGATCCCAGCTCCTGCCGTATAGAAGAACTCCCTCCACAGGAGCTGCCCGTGCAAAGACACGGGCGGGCTGGAGTGTTTCCTCTGTCAAAAGAGGGCAGACGTTATTCTTGTCTCTGGCACGTAAGCGAGGAGAGTCCCGGAGAAGGGATCCAATGGTGGTTCCTTAGCAGGGATTACTGCTGTTGGTTTCCCAGGCATTCATATACCCAAACACTGACTGGAGTTTAAGGCCTCTGGAAAATGAGGGATTAATAGTACTGGCTAGAGCTGGGCATAATCCACGGAGGCGTTGTAAAAGCTTCCACCACGCATGCAGCTCTGCCAAGGTACCTCACTCCTGATCCACATCAGCCTCTGCTCTTCTAGGCCTGGGCTTTCTTATTCAGAGGCTAGGATAGAGCCAAACCCTAAAATCCCTTGGTTTTATGGACAAACTAAGCCTAGGACGAGCCAGGAGACAGATTTTCCTTTGTGATTCTAGGGTTTAAACCCAAGAAGTTAAGGTCTAAGTCTAACCAACTGCATCACCCATCCTCCTCCTGCTAAGGGGTTCTGCTGCCGTTCATGCCCCGTTCCCATTGGCTCAGAGGCAGCATCCTCACTGACCATGCCAGGAAGGTTATTTGCCTACACAGAGCAATAGATCTTATTCCAAATGTCCCACATCGGTATGAGCCAGCAGCCCCTGCAGGGCAGGGAACTCTAACCTCCACAGTGCTCCTTTAGGCCTAACACACGTGCTGGCAGGCAGCTGCCTGATAAAAGAGCTGCCAAGCAAAAAACTTACCCCCTGGTAGATTTCAGCCAACCTCCACCAGAAGGTTCGCACTGACAAGCATCCAAACTTGATGTAAGGACTCAGGACGGTGGTGCTAGGGCTCAGGGAGTTGGGCTCAGTCTGGGGCTTCTGGAAATTACACACCCAGGCCTGAAAAAGGACAAGAGAAGCAGATGAGAGGTGCCCAAAGCCAGACAGGGAAAAGCACAGAGGACTCCCTGCCCAAGGGAAGAGGATGGCCAAACTATATATGATGGAAACCACTTCAAGCCAGGATATGCAGCAGCACCCCTAGTTCCAGCACCTATGAGCCTGGTACCATAATAAAACAGAGAGCGGAGTAGTTCCATGTACTGTCTTTCTAATTAGCGTTTTCCACCCGCTTTGCAGTCACTTAGCACAGGGGTAAGCGATTGCAGGTGCAAGGCAACAATGAATTAGGCCTGGGAGCAGCTGGCAACGCTGTACCTATAGCCACGGTCCTGGATCTCTCCAGGACACTCCTGCCAAAGCCCATGTGGGCTCAGCACACCGTTGCAGGGAATCAACCTGAGATGTTTCTCTTACGCTGTTTGCTTGAAAGCTCAAGGGCTTAGTGCCTATCCCAGGCCTCAAAGCGGGAGAGGGATCAATGTTAACTACCCTACCGTTCTGTTCATATGCAAGTCAAGCCTGCAAAGTGCCTCAGACTCTCCTCCTGGGTAGAGGCGAGGACCTGCTTGCTCGGGGTCTTGACCCAGCTCCTCCAGCGTAGGGATCCCATACTCTGCATCGTGGTTGTCTTTGCAGGGGGTACAGCAATCTGCGGTAATAGGCACAGTCAGTACTTCCGTGCACCATCAACACTAAAATATATTGTACGTTTGTCCAGCCTCTTTAGTTGTAAAGAATCTCAAAGTGCTTTATAGAACTAAACGGGGATCGCTGCACCCAGCACTGAAATGCAGCCACCTCTGGAATGGAACATGGCAACTGCTTTACAGCCTCATAACACCACTACACCAGAGCCTAGGAGAAGAAGAATCCCATGTCCCATGGAAGCTGCATGGGGATTTTTGGAACACACCAGGGGAAGCCCAGAATACCAACCACAGAAGCTTGCAGTCCGAGTGCTGGGACATGTCCCCCTGGCAGAGAACCACCACATTGACAAAGACTTGTCCCATACTCACTGTCCACAGAATCTGGTCTATACCCAGCCTGTTATCAATCCCTTTAGTGTTCCCAGCCCCAAGAACCCACACGGTTCCACAGAGGCAATCCCTGGCTTCCAGGACTCTGAGACTGGGCCTTCAGGCACCAACAAGCCCTGTCTCTTTCGGAGGCTCCCTGCAGCAAATCCAGCCAACCCAGATTCTTGCAGAGGCTTGTACTGGGCCTGTCAAGGCACAGTGCTCTCACTGGGTATTTGCAACAACCCACACAGCCTTTTCCAAACAAGGGAGCCATGTATGAGTCACCTGGCTATTGAAGCTGGAAGGCCTTATGTTAGCCCAGAGAGGCAGAGTTAAGCCATAGGCCAGCCTGGCCAAGCCAGTGCAAATGCCAGCCGTGCCGGGTCGGACTCCATCTCCGTCCCAGTCTCTCTCCCTTATCCGGTCCCAGCCGGGGGAGAGCAGCCAGTTTCTTCAGAAGCCCACCCTCCATTCCCACCCAGGCAGAGCTCAGTCCTTTGTCTCCAGGCAGGGCCACGCTGCGTTCACCCCGCCCCGCCTGCCAGAGCGTCCCACTGCTGAGTGTCGATGGAACTTCCTGTTGTCACTCGGGACCCTCTCTTGATCTGGGTCGGTTTCAACCAATTCCTTAACGACCCTGTTTGTTCCACCCACAGGGCGAGGTGACACACACCTGTACGGAAGGAAACTTGGGGACATATACGAATCATTAAAATATTACCAAACCCTTTGTCCCACTCACCCTTCAGGTTTTCCAGAGTGGGAGCTGGCACGGGCCGCTTCGGTGGTCCCAGCGCTGCCAGGAGCGTCTGCAGGCGCACGTAGGTCAGAGGCACCTTGCCACTGTTCTCAGCAATTACTCTGTGAATAATCAAAGGGACCTATCACCGGGTAGAGCCCACGCAGCAGAAGACACTGACATCCTCTTTTGCTGGGACTCCAGGGGCTTTAATGCCCAGCAATGAGCAAGCCACATGAGGCCCCCGCTCCTGGGACCCACCTGTCGGTGTCATACAAGGTGTTGGACACTTTCTGAATAACCTGAACGCCATGTTCAGCCGCCAGCCTCACCACCTCGCTATCGCGCTGCCTGGAGTAGGGCTCCGTGTCTATCTCGAACGTCAGCCGTGTCACCTTCCACTCTTTAAAGAGGACCGGGAATATCTCTGTGGGGCGGCCACGCCCCACAAACAGCCTGCGGAGATGCCACCAAAACCTAGTCAGCCAGCGGCGAGGTAAACAGCAAGGCCCAGGAGTCCAGGCTTGGTGGCTGGGCTCAAGAGAGAGCATTGTGTGGTGGGAACTCTAGTCTATGCGTACACTCATCCTAGGCCACTTGCAAGCATGGCATGTTGGAACTTGTCTCCGTGGGTCACACCTCCATGTCAAAAGTCAGGGCAGCTACAACCTAATCCATTTTATGGCCTGTCGGGTGGATCCCTCAGGAACTGTTGGGTTCCTCAGGCTTAGAGTGTCGCTCTGAATTCTACTTCTGACAGCAGGGAACACAGTGCATGAGATCTCTCCATACCAGGTCCCTTGGAGCTCCTACCCCTCCACAGGTGAGACACTGCTTGTCAGCAGCAGTCGGCTCATCCCAGGGTGGGAAGGGAAATGCAGACCACATAGCTGGGGAAGACAGCGGTCCCACTTGGGATTCTGGCAATGAGGGTACTTAGGAACCCAGCTTCCACCCCTTTGGCAAAGTAGCTCATGTCTAAGACCTCTCATGCATGCTGCACGCTTCATCTCTGTTAGGCAGCTGGAGATGCAGAGGATTGTGAGGAACCTCCCCCTCCCCAGACAAATTCATCCCCATCATCCCCTCAGTAAAAGCCTTTCTGCTGCTGGCTACTCCAGCCCTGTAGCCCACCTTCGCTGCGCTTGCTCTCATAACAAAGTGCCCTTTAGAAAGGGCCACACAATCCCCATTCAGTTAAGCTCAAGCAGCTCCCTGACCTTCTGGGGCTGCTCCTGATCCTGCTTTGGAACCGCATAGAGGGATGTGCACTGGGAGCCCATTTCTGCATCGCCCGGCACCGGCACTCACACCTGGGCGAAGTGCGCGTCGCACACGACGAAGTCAGAATGGCAGCCGTGCACTGGCATCACGATGTCACAGGGTGCAGAGCTACAGAGAACCAGGCCCTGCGTATTTGTGGGGGGGAGGGAAGCAGCTACCCCTGTGTGGCTCATTCATCTAGCAGATGGAAGCATTATATCATTAAAAAGTAACAGTTGTGAACTGCGGGGGGGGAGGAGGAGAAAATACATTTGTTTGACTTAGACTGAAATATTCAGAGGAAGGCAGTTCTCCAGGCACAGAACCTGCCAGCACTTTGCACTGTGAATCTGCAGCTCATTGGCACCGTATTCTCTTGGACAGGGAGCTCCAGACAACTGGGACCAGAGGGACCCAAGGAAGCAGAATTCTGGCATCTACTGGGCCCACCCTGCAAGCCCTGTATGTACACAGCTCCCAGCGAACGCGATGCAGGTCCCATGTGGGGAGGGTTAACAGAATCAGGCCCTTTGTTTTTCCAGGTACCAGAGACAACCCCAGGACTCGAACTGTCTTAGCCCTCCCTACACTAGTGCCGGGTATCTGCCTGGACTGGACTTGCCTCGAGTTCAGTTTCTGGAGGCTCTCGTCCAGATCTCTCAGCGACTCAACCAGAAACCTCCAGCGGTTGACGCTGACCCGCATGTTCTTTGGGAACCAGGGGTCGAGGATGAAGATGGGATACAGCTTGTGGCAGTCTGTCATCGCGGCCAGCAGGGCAGGGTTATCGTGAAGGCGAAGACCCTTACGGAACCAGTGGATCGAGATGTGCTTCATCCTGAGGGTTCGGCTCCCTGCTCAGTGCCTTGCTTCTCCTTCCTCTCAGTGTCGGGTCCCCTGAGGGCAAAGGAAAACTAAGGAAATCACCTTGAGAACAGGCACGTGACTCCCCTCCCCCACTCCCCGAGCCAAACAGCACTGAAAGCAATGAGAGTTAGGTGCCTAAATATCTTGGGATCTGGGAAATCAGTGGGAGTTCGGCACCTGGAAACCTTGGAGGATCCGGGCTGACGTACTCAGGGCTCAGTCCAGCCACACAGATTGAATATATTCTTCGGGTGACTAGATAGCAAGGGTCAAAAATCAGAACGGGGGGGGGGGGGGGGTAATAGGTGCCTGTGTGAGAAAAAGACCCAAAAAACCAGGACTGTCCCTATAAAATCAGGACATCTGGTCACGCTACATATTCTAAGGCCAGGAGGGACTCTGCCCATCACCTCCTCTGAGCTGCATACCAAAGGCCACAGGACGTTCCCGGACTCAGTTCCTGTTTGGACCACAGCAGATCTTTTAGGAAAGCAGCCAGCGAGGGAGAACCCACCCCAGCCCTGGCTACATTGTTCCAGTGGTTAATTACCCTCGCTATTAAACATGCGCACTTTCTTTCCAGATATTGCCCTGACAGCTTTGCAGAGGCGGACTCTGCAGTGGCCGCATAGGCCCATCTCCGCTTCCTTCTCACCTGGGTGCTCCTCCTTGGGGGGGCCCAGCAAGCGGCTCCTTCCCCGGCATCCCCCAGCAGCCTGGCTGGGTAACGCTCGGCTTCCAGGGCTGGAAGTGAAGGTTACGAAACAAGCCGCTGTCAGTCAAGGGGCGCGGGCCTCCCAGGCACCCAACCAGGGGGACTTCAAGCCTCCGAACCCGCCCGGGGAGGAGCAGCGGGAGCTGGGGCCCCTTTGGGCGGGTCCGTAGCTCTGATCCGGTGGCCAGGGCCGGGCCGGGGGAGAGCCCATGGGCCCCGGGCGGGGTCTAGCTGACGGCGCCGCTGGGCTCCCCTCCCCGCGCAGTGCTAGGGGCAGGACAGCGGGGGCCGAAGGGCCGCTTGCGGGGCCCACGTAGAGCGGGCGGGGAGAGGCACCGGGGACCCCTCGCCTTGCTCGTGGCGAGCTTTGGCCAGGGCCTGTCCGCAGCGCCCGGCCGCCCCGTCCTGCAAGCCGCTCCCCTGGCAGCCCGCGGCCCGGGGAAACCGGTGCCCGCGGCGAGCCCCAGCCCACGTGCCGAGCTCGGGAGCCCCGCCCTGGGGCTGCGCCCCGGCGCTGGTGCCCCGCCGCAGGAGGCGTTTCCTCGCAGGGCCAGGGGCGGCCGCCGACTTCCCCGGCCCGTGGCTGGAGCGGGGAGGCGGGCCCCGGAGCGGCGAGCGGCGGGAGGAGCGCCCCCGGAGCCCGGCCGGACGCGCGGGGCTGGGTGAGTAGCCGCCTGCAGCCTCCCCGCCGGCGCTCCGCCCCGGGCAGCCAAGGCGCGCAGCGGCTCCCGGCCTCCCAGGGAGCGGGGCGCCCCCGCCGGGGCAGGAAGCCGCGGCCGGAGCGGGGCAGGGGGGGGGGCGTGTGCCTGGCAGCCGGGTTTGTTCCCTTTTTCTTTTTAATTTCTTCAGATCCCTTTTGAGCGTGGCAGGCTGCGGGAGGGCGGCTGGTGCCAACCGCGGCAACGCCCTGGCCCCGCCCCCTCCGAGGCCCCGCCCCCGCTCATGCCACCCCCCCTCAGTCTCGCTCTCCCTGCCCTGGCTCAGTTTCCCCGCACTGGTGCAGGGGGCTGGGCTGTGGGAGAGGGTGAGGGCTCCAGAGGGGGGCCAGAAATGCAGGGCTGGATAGGGCACTCCCAGTATATAGTCTCACTGCCCCTTTGCATTCCCCATCTGTTTGTTGCAACCATCTTCTCTTCTCATACTTAGACTGTAAGGTCTTCTGGGCAGGGACATCTTTTTCTCACTCATTTGCATGGTGCTGAACATAGTGTGGCTGGTGCTCTTGGGGCTACCCCCAGATGAATAAATAATTACACACAGCTGTTTTTTTAACCTAGGAAATCATGCACGCAGCTAAATTAAAATTAAAAGAGCAGGTGCTCCCCCATTCTCTCTCCCTCCCATCTTGTGTTAAGATCATCTTTTGCTAGAGAGAGCAGGACAGGGATTGCTGATTCTTTTAATTTGTGTTCTTAGTTAAATTTTGTTGTAACCCAGGAGGGAGACCCTGAGATCAGCTTTCCAGAAATAATTGTACTGTGTTCCTGGAAATATCATGTGTGTGTTTTTAAGAACATAAGAATGGCCATACTGGGTCTAGCCCAGTATCCAGTCTTCTGACAGTGGCTGTTGCCAGATGCTTCAGAGGGAATGAACAGAACAGGGCAATTATCCAGTGATCCATCCCCTGCTGTCCAGTTCCAGCTTCTGACAGTCAGAGGTTTAGGCACACCCAAAGCATGGGGTTGCATCCCTGACCATCTTGGCTAATAGCCATTGATGGAACTATCCTCCAGGAATGTAGCGAATTCTTTTTTGAACCTAGTTCTACTTTTGGCCTTTGCAACATCCCCTGGCAATGAGTTCCCCAGGTTGACTGTGCCTTGGGTGAAGAAGTACTTCCTCTTGTTTGTTTTTAAATCTGCTGCCTATTCATTTCATTCGGTGACCCCTAGTTTGTGTGTTTATATGAAGGGGTAAATAATGCTTCCCTATTCGCTTTCTCCACACCAGTTGTGAGTTTGTAGACCCCTATTATATCCCCCTCGGTCGTCTCTTTTCTAAACTGAACCACCCCCATCTTTTTAATCTTTCCTCAGATGCAAGCTGTTCCATATCCGTAATCATTGGTGTTACCCTTCTCTGCCCATCCATGCGAGGTGCACCAGGTGTGGGCAGGCAGGCTCAGCGAGGCAGGAGCCAAATGTGAAGGGGCTTAGTGTGTCAGGGATCCAGGTGTGGGTTGAGAGGATTCTTTGTGGGGCAATCTGGGTGCGGGCAGCTCAGTGGGGGATCTGGGTGTGGGGGGGATCTGGATGCACAGGGGCTTAGTGAGGGGTTCTGGGTGCAACGGTAATGGGACTCTGCAGGGGGTCCAGGTGAAGGTGGTTGGGGTTCAGCAGCGGGGGTTAGTCCAGGTGCAGGGAGAGTGGGGCCTAGCGGGGGAGGGTCTGAGTGTGTGGGGGAGCTGGATGCACAGGGGTTGGGGGGATGAGGGAGCAGCTCCCTGTACAGGGATCCCTCTCCCTGCAGCTGAGGAGCGATGGGTGCAGAAAGCGGGGGGGGGGGGGAGAACTTTGCAGAGATTCCTGCAGCTGGGAGAGAAATCTGGGGGTGGGTCTGACCCACCCTGGATGCCGTGCAGGGGAAGAGGAAGTCCCATCCTCCCCAGCCCAGCTGGGACTCGCAGCTGAGCCAGGCACAGGGTAGGAGCCACCAGCCGGGTCTTCCCCAGTCCTGCCCCCTGCCCCACAGTGATTTACTTCTCTGCCAGCTGCCCTGGGCACCTGAAACATACTGCTTGGGAGGGTCGCTTGACCGCTCTTGTGGCTTCCCCTGTCAGAAAGTCATTTTTCTGTGAAGAAGCAATGAAATCTGCAGGGGACATAAATTCTGCGCATGCGCAATGGCGCAGAATTCCCCCAGTAGTACTCTTGGCAGTTCAGGGACTTGGACAATGCAGATGCCACAGAGAGCGCCACAAAGACTGGAGCTGAAACAGAGCCTGCCTGCCTCCCCTGTTCCTAAGGGACACCCAGAGCCAGGTGGAGGCTGAGCTATGAGCCCAATAGAAAACCACGCTGCAGAAAGCCTGCACGTAGGTGGGACCACCCCACTGTTTGAGTTGTGCTCCTGGGCGGGACTGAACAGTTGTTACAAGGCCAGAGCCTGCCTGGTTGCATCCCGGGAGGGTGGACTTAAGCCCGGGGGATCAAGTGTCCACTCTGCAAAGAGGGTGCTCTGCTCATGCTCCCAAGGATTCCTATTTGGGTGGAAGGGTCCTGGCATCTTTGGGGGTATTTCCATATGCTGAGGTCTTCTAAACATTGTGCTTGTCTAAGCAAAGCTTGAGCGAAAAACAGCCTTTCCCTCTTTTCCTTATTTTAAAGAAACTGCATATTCAACAATAAGGATCCAAACGCACTCTGGCTCCTGTTCTTGCAACACAAGAGAACCCAAAGTATCCAGTCTGGTGCTTGCAAGAAGAAAAGGAGTACTTGTGGCACCTTAGAGACTAACCAATTTATTTGAGCATAAGCTTTCATGAGCTACAGCTCACTTCATCGGATACATACTGTGGAAAATACAGAAGATGTTTGTTTTTATACACACAAATCATGAAAAAATGGGTGTTTATCGCTACAAAAGGTTTTCTCTCCCCCCACCCCACTCTCCTGCTGGTAATAGCTTATGTAAAGTGATCACTCTCCTTACAATGTGTATGATAATCAAGGTGGGCCATTTCCAGCACAAATCCAGGGTTTAACAAGAATGTCTGAGGGGGGGGGGGGTTAGGAATACAAGGGGAAATAGGTTACCTTGCATAATGACTTAGCCACTCCCAGTCTCTATTCAAGCCTAAATTAATTGTATCCAATTTGCAAATGAATTCCAATTCAGCAGTCTCTCGCTGGAGTCTGGATTTGAAGTTTTTCTGTTGTAATATCACAACTTTCATGTCTATAATCGCGTGACCAGAGAGATTGAAGTGTTCTCCGACTGGTTTATGAATGTTATAATTCTTGTTCTTGTTAAATCCTGGATTTGTGCTGGAATGGCCCACCTTGATTATCATATACATTGTAAGGAGAGTGATCACTTTAGATAAGCTATTACCAGCAGGAGAGTGGGGTGGGGGAAGAGAAAACCTTTTGTAGCAATAAACACCCATTTTTTCATGATTTGTGTGTATAAAAACAAACATCTTCTGTATTTTCCACAGTATGCGTCCGCTGAAGTGAGCTGTAGCTCGTGAAAGCTCATGCTCAAATAAATTGGTTAGTCTCTAAGGTGCCACAAGTCCTCCTTTTCTTTTTGTGAATACAGACTAACACAGCTGTTACTCTGAAACCAGTCTGGTGCTGGTTCTTTTGGAGTATCTGTTCCCCTGCCATGCTACAGCCAATATCCTTAGCAACAACCCTTGGTGATTTGTGATGGAAGGGTGTGATATCTGTTGGTGGGCTGGATAGCTTTTTAGTAAATGGATTTAGTGCAGGCTAGATGGCCTGGGAGAGTGACGTGCCCTGTCTACCCCAGACCAGACACCCATGGCAATGAGTGATCTCTTATGCAGCGCTTGCTAATGGAGTCTGCATGTGGAATACGCTGATTGTTCTTCCCCCAGGAGTTGGGGGCACGGGGTGCAGTGGTAAAAGAAGCAAACATGATCTTTTTATTCTGGAATTGTACAGCGCATAGCACAATGGGTCCTGGTCTTTGACTGGGACTCCTAAGTGCTATGGGCCTACAAATACATAATATGCTGAATTTAATACCAGCATTTAATACCTGCTGACCAGTTGTCCTTTCCCTGTTACAGGCCAAGATTCATGTGGGCACTTCTCATCTGACTGTTATCCTCGATATGGCTGGTGAGTAAACAAGGAGCACGTTGACAGCATGATCTGATTGAGTAGGGGCTGGGAACAGGAGGCAGAGCGTCTATCCCTGCTCTGCCCCTGACTTGCTATGAGCCTGGGAGAGCCGGTTTTACTCTGGTGCATTTTCCCCATTCTGTGGGCCAGGGATAACGTACCCAGCTCTAGAAAGTGCTTTGCTCTCATAGCTGAGAAGGGACATAAGCGAATCACGAACCACCCCTCGTCCGTTTCAACTCTCACACACCTTGTAAGATTCGAAATGAACCATATCGGCTCAGGGCAGGGACTTGGCCATTGCTGCGGACAGCCTCAGTGGAGATCTCAGCTCAGTGTGCAGCTGAGGTCCAACCCCCTCCCAACCTAGCAAGTAAGATGGTGGGCTGCAGAAGGAATGGGATGGAGAACAC